GCCCCCCCGCCCCTCGCCCGCGGCCGTGTGGCCTGTGACCCTTGTCCTGTGGCTCTGTGGATGGGGCACCGGTGACCCCCGAGACTGGACTGTCGAGGCAGAATGTTTGCCTCTGTGAGAGCAGCAAATGGTGATTTTCTGTTTTGCGGGGAGTGGGAGGGGGGAGTTGTCGCGGGGCGGGGCGGCGTCGATGCTGTGTTTTTGTGTAAAGAGGGAAACTGAGGCTGTCTTCAGGGTTGAGCCAGCCACGTCTCCCTGCCTGCTCTGTGCCGTCTTTCAAGGTTGAGGGTTTACCTGTGATGCTATCAAAATAACCACGGAATCCAGTCCCGCTCCCAAGGCTGTTTTGTGTTTTGTTTTTTTTGGGGGGGTTGCTTTTTTTTTTTTCTCCATCTCTCCATAGAAAGCTATGGGTTTGTCTTGCAGAAGAAAGGATGATCTTTTGATTTAATAATAATAAAGCTGCCTGGGTTCCCTTATCATATGTTTTTAGCTTCTCAGTTTTCTGCTAGGTTACCAAGTCTCATCCTTTTTTGCACCACTGTGTTAGCCCAGAAGAGCCTGTACTTTGCTCAGGCTGTGGGTATCATTACATTGATGGATAAAAGACACTGGGGATTGCTCAATATGGTATTGCTTGTTCTCGCAAAAAACCTTCGAAAAACTTCACTTAAATTAGTGGAAAATGCCTTGAATGTAACAGCCACAAAGTGACGTAAGGCGTAAGACTTTATTGATACTGGATCAACAGTTCTTCATTTATAAATGGTAGTAGACATGGTAGATACGTGGGCTGTTTGGAAGATTCTCACCAATTATTGTCTATTTTTTGTGCTTGTACCAGGGCCTGACCTCAAGGCCTGGGTGCTTTCCCTCAGCTTTTTAACTCAAGTGCTCTACCATATGAGTCACACCTCCACATCTGTTATTTTTAAACTGGAGATAAGAGTTTATGGACTTTCCTGCCTTGGCTGGCTTTAAACCAAGATCTTCAGATCTCAGCCTTCTGAATACTAGGAATACAGGCATTCTCCACAAGCTCCCAGCAAAAATCTATTTTAACTGATTGTATTTCTGCCAAAAGAGAAAGCTTTGCACAGACTCCTATTTAAAAAGAAAGATGGATTCTGAGGCTCAGTGCCCCCTAGGACTTAATTGTATGCAGTAGCTCCTTTAATACTGTCTCTTATTAAATGAATTTTTTTTGGGGGGGGTCCAGTTGTGGGGCCTGAACTCTGGGCCTGGGCGCTGTCCCTCAGCTCTTCAGCTCAAGGCTAGCGCTCTACCAGTTGAGCCACAGCGCCACTTCTGGCTTTTTTCTTTTTGATTATGAGGTGCTGAGGAATCGAACCCAGGGCCTCAGGCTTGCAAGGCCAGCGCTCTACCACTGAGCCACCTTCCCAGCCCATGAATATTTCTTTGTAACTATTGGAAGAACTCTGTTGTGTGGACGTTGGTTGGGGGGGTTGATAAGTTTATTAAACTTTTGAAACTTGTACCCTGTCATTTGTTTCTGAAGGTACAGGGCACCATGGCGGCTTCTGAGGTAGCTGGACTTGGGGCCAATGCACCTAGTCCTCCAGAATCCAAATCAGATGAAGGGCTCCCTGATGCTCTAAGGTAATGTGTGGGTTCATGACTCTGTAGTTCATTCTACCTCTTCGTGGTTTTGTGGTTGTAACTGCACTGTAGTAGATTGAGTTTTGTTGTTTTGGTGCTGAGCCTGAGGCTTGAACTCAGGGTCTGGGTGCTGTTCCTTAGCTTTTTCCCTCAGGGATAGTACTTTGTTACTTGAGCCACAATTCTACTTCTGGCTTTTTTTTTTTTTTTGCCGGTTGTGAGGCCTGAACTCTCAGCCTGGGCACTGTCCCTCAGCTCTTCAACTTAAGGCTAGCACTCTACCACTTGAGCCACAGCGCCACTTCTGGCTTTTTCTCCTTATGTGGTGCTGAGGAATCTAACCAAGGGCCTTATGCATGCAAGGCAAGCTCTCTACCACTGAGCACCTTCCCAGCCCCTGGCTTTTTTTTTTTTTTTTTGGTAGTTTATTGGAGATGAGAGTTCCCTGCTGGAGCTGGTCCTCAGATTTCAGCCTCCTGAGTAACTAGGCTTACAGGCATGAGCCACAGTACTTGGCTTAGATTAAGCTTAAAGGAAGGGATTGCCTAGCTTTGTAATTCTGGTACCCAATGCAGTCTCTGATGTTCAGCAGGCATGCTATGTATTTATTGGATAAAGCTGTCAGACTATAACCATCAGTCCATCAAAATATTTCCTCTCTAACATAGACTGTACGTTCATTTAACCATAGGTTTATTTATCAAATTCATATTCGTTATATAGTTAGATATACGTGCATTTTTACTTATATGGTCTATTGCTTAATGTATGCATTTTGTTCTGTGTGTGTGTGTGTGTGTGTGTGTGTGTGTGTGCCTGCCTGTGTGAGGCTGTACTGGGGCTTGAACTCAGGAGCCTTTTAAAAATTTTTTTTAAATGCTGGTACTTCTATCATTCCAGTTATAGCCCCACTTCCAGCTTTTTGGTGGCTAATTAAAGATAGGAATTTCATGGATTTATCTGCTGGTCTGACTTTAAATAAGCTACCGTCCTTAACTTCAGCCTCCTGTATAGCTAGGATTACAGGTGTGAGCCACCAGTGCCCAGCAGTTGTTTTATTTTGAACAGATACTGTTAAGGAAAGACGTACGTTGACCTGCAGCCTCAATCAGTGCTACAACGTGGAGAGAAAAGAAATTTAATGTGGATTAAACTCCTGAGTGAAAGACTTTTGTCAATGTTGGGTATCATTGTAAATATCACTTGTAAATATCATTTAAAAAATCTCTTTAAAAATCAATGCTTTGTCTGGGTGAGAAGCTCTGTGGAGAGGATGCCTAGAGAATGTGCAAGTTCTGGGTCTGATCCCTCAGCTGAGGAACAGGAAGGGAAGGCAGTAAGTACACTGTCCGTGATAAACAACAAAGCCATCATCCCAATGTTAAATCTTTCTATTACTTGCTGTCTAGGATACATTTTTTATTGACAACTTCTGTTTGGATTCAAAATGGTGCTTTTGACAGCATGAGGTGATGCTATGCTCTGGAAAACTGTTGAGTTATGAAATTAATTGTGGTCAAAAATTTGTATAATGGGTCTGAAGGACAATTACTTTTATGAATTATGAAAATAAAAACAGTATTCCTAGCCAGGTGCCAGTTGTTCACGTTTGTAACCCTTGCTACTCAGGAGCCTCAGATCTGAGGATGGCAGTTGGAAGCCTGCCTGAGCAGGGAAGTCTGTGAGATTCTTGTTTCCAATTAAGCACCAAAAAAAGCCAGAAGTGGAGCTGTGCTCCAGTGGTAGGTAGAGCATTAGCCTCAGAGACAGTGCCCAGGCCCTGAGCTCAAGCTCCAGGACTGGTGCCCCCAAAAGCAAAAAATAACCCCCCAAACCCAACAGTATTTGTAAGTTAATATTTTATTCACAAATATTTGTAAATAAATTCTTTTTTTTGGGGGGGGGGTTCGGTCGTGGGGCCTGAACTCTGGGCCTGGGCGCTGTCCCTCAGCTCTTCAGCTCAAGGCTAGCGCTCTACCACTTGAGCCACAGCGCCACTTCCGGCTTTTTTCTTTTTGCTTATGTGGTGTTGAGGAATCGAATCTAGAGGCAAGCGCTCTACCACTGAGCCACCTTCCCAGCCCCTGTAAATAAATTCTTATAATCAGACATTGACTAGCATCATTTTGTTTTTATTAGTTTGCTCCAAAGTTCTTCAAACTGGCCCTCAAAATTTCTTTGGGTCTTCAGGGTCATTTATGTTGAGATAGTTCCTATAGACTGTCACCCACCGAGCTAGATTCCCTGCTTATGAGATGAAGATTATTGGATAGAAACATCTTCGTTCTGGTGATTGAGAGGGTTTATGTAGACCAGTTGTATTCATCTGTGAAAAGTTAGTTCATTCTCTAGTTAATCTTTGTTAACATTGGGAGAAAAGAGAAACCTTTTTTTTGTGGCGCTAGTAATAGAACTCAGTGCCTCGTGCATACAGGCAGCCATTCCACTGAACTGCACCCCCCAGCCCAGAAACGTTTCACCTTCTATATTATATATAAAAATAAAAAATTAAAATTGTTATCATAAAGGTGGTGTGCAGAGGGGGTTAAAGTTATGTAAGTTGGGCTGGGAATGTGGCTTAGTAGTAGAGTGCTTGCATGCAGGAAACCCTGGGTTCCATTCCTCAGTACCACCTAAACAGAAAAAGCTGAAAGTGGAGCTGTAGCTCAAGTGGTAGAGTGCTAGTCTTGAGCAAAAACAGCTCAGGGACAGTGCCCAGGCCCTGAGTTCAAGCTCCAAGACTGGCGAAAAAAAAGTTACATGGAAGTGGTGCTGTGGCTCAAGTGGTAGAGCACTAGCTTAGAGCTGAAGAGCTGAGGGACAGCGCCCAGGCCCAGAGTTCAGGCCCCACCACCGACAAAAAAAAAAAGTTACATAAGTCAGGTAAAGAGTACATTTCCTTTTGGGCAATGTGACCTCTTCCTCACTCATTTTTTCCCTCCTGTCCCCACCCACAGTTGTATAGTTCATTTTATTTTCGTTTTAAATTTTTATTTAATTAATTTATTTTTGTCAGTCATGGGGCTTGAACTCTGGGCCTAGGTGCTGTCCCTGAGCTCTTCACCTTAAGGTGAGTGTTCTACCACTTGAGCTACAGTACCACTTCTGATTTTCTGGTGGTTATTTGGAGATAAGAGTCTCACAGACTTTCCTGCCCAGGCTGGCTTTGAACCATGATCCTCAGATTGTTACTATAAAGGTGATATACAGAAGGGGTCAGTTACATAAGTTACATAAGTCAGGAAAGGAGTACATTTCCTTTTGGACAGTTCATCCCTTCCCTTGCTCTCTCTGTTTTTCCCTTCTGTCCCCACCACAAGTTGTATAATTCATTTTCATATTGTGTTTTTTGACAGCCCCAAAGACCCTCCACAGAAGCAGAAGAACTCGCCTCCATCAACTGTAAATAGCCACATGATAATGAAGGAGAATAACAGAAATGTACGTGTGGATCACCCCGAGCAGAATCCTGGTTCATCAGCGGGTGACCCTGCAGCAGCACACCAGGAGGCTTTAGGAGAGAACTTGGTAGCCACAGCCCTTTGTCTTTCTGGCAGTGGCTCTCAGTCTGATTTGAAGGACTTGGCCACCACAGCAGGAGAGGAAGGAGACATGAGCCTCCAGGAGAGCTTCCATCCGGTCAATCGGTCTCTTAAGGCAGGGTGCCATACAAAGCAGCTTGCCTCCAGGAATTGTTCAGAAGAGAAATCCCCACAAGCCTCCATCCTAAAAGAAGCTAGCAGAGACACAGGCTTGGATTTCCAACCTGGAGTGCCTCCAGCAAATGGGGTTGAAGGAGTCCAAGTGGAGCCGGAGGATGATCAGGACAGCTCTTCCCTGAAGCTTTCTCAGAACATTGCTGTGCAGGTTGAACATCAAGTTTCCACTACTAGAATGGAATTGGGCTGGGGGGAACATTGCGGGCAGGCAACACTTCTGCATATTTGTGGAGAACTGTACTGTCCTGTTTCATGCTAGCAGCCATCATGCTGCTTTCATACATTTGCCATACAGGGACTTGATTCTAGCGTAGAAATAAGTCACTAGCCAGTATCAGTTCTTACAGCAGTCAAAATTTCATGAGCTCTGAGAATAAGTGGTATATAGGTCCCTGTCATAAGCATTTCTATGTCCGATCTTTATCCTCACATGTTAATTCCATAACCTACCTCTTAGTACAGTGTGTCATGCCTTCTAATTGCAGAGCTCTGTCATAGGAAGATCTATGGGCACAGTAGGTTGTCGGGGATAGCTAAGTGTTGGTCTTGATTAGTTTTTTTGTTGTTGGTGGTCTTGGAGCTTGAACTCAGGGCCTGGGCACTGTCCCTGAGTTCTTCATCTCAAGGTGAGTGCTCTACCACTTGTGCCACAGCGCCACTTCGGTTTTCTGGTGGTTAATTGGAGATGAGTCTTACAGACTTTCTTAACCCAGGTTGGCTTTGAACCATGATCCTCAGATCTCAGCCTCCTGAGTAGCTAGGATATAGGCGTGAGCCACCAGTACCTGGCTCTTGATTAGGCTTTCTTGTGAGCTGAATGATTGGTACAAATGTAGATATTGGTGTCCATTTGCCAGAACTGCCTTGCTTCACTCACAGTGAAGTTGGTAAAGTATCTTAGTTGTTTGAGGCAAATTTTTAAATGAAAATATAGAATAAGCCAGGCACCGGTGGCTCACGGCTGTAATCTTAGCTACTCAGGAGGCTGAGATCTGAGGATTAGATCACAATTAGAAGCTGGCCCATGCAGAGAATCCCCATGAAACTTATCTCCAATTAACCACTCAAAACCTGGAAGTGGTGCTGGGGTTCAAAATGGTGTAGAGCACTAGTCTTGAGCAAAAGAGCTCAGAGACAGTGCCTAGTCCCTGAGTTCAAGCCTCACAACTGGAAAAAAAAAAGTATAGAATAATTCTGCCTCTTCTAAAGTTCTAAATGTACTATTTTTTCCTTTATAGACTGACTTTAAGACGACGGATTCAGAGGTAAACACAGATCAAGATATTGAAAAGAATTTGGTAAGTAAAGTGTCATTGTTATTATCAAAGTTGGAAAATGTGTAGGAATCTCATTTATAAAATCCCTCATGGAGCCAGGTGCTGGTTGCCTTTATTCCTTGCTCCTCATGAGGCTGAGATCTGAGAACTGGTTCAGTCAGCTCAGGCAGAAAAGTCCATGATACTCTTATCTCTAATAAACCACTCAGAAAAAGCCAGAAGTAGCCCTATGGCTCAAGTGGTAGAGCTCTAGCCTTGAGCCTAGAGAGCTCAGGGACAGTACCCAGACCCTGAGTTCAAGCTCCAGGACTGTCCCCTCCCCCTAAAAATCTCTTATGGATGGTCCACTTCTACTTGCTGACTCCAGAAACTTAGGCTTCCTCCCTCTCACAGACATCCACTACCCGGCATCCCTCCCACGGATGCCCATTACCCTGCATTCCTCCCATAGATGCCTACTACTCCCGCATCTCTCCCATGGATGCCCACTATCCCACATCCCTCCCATAGATACTCACCACCTTAAATCCCTCCCACAGGCACCCACCATCCCTCATTCCTCCCACAGATGCCCACCACCCTGCATTCCTCCCACAGACGCCCACCAACCCACATCCCTCCCACAGAGACCCACTCTCCATCTAGTCTGAGCCTTGCTGTGAAACATCTGCACAGGTTTTTACCATTCTTTTCATGTGTACTTTTTCTTTCCAGTCTTTTATCCTGTCATCCTGGTATATTCCACCTCACATGTCCCATTTTGTCAGTGTTATGTTTTTTTATACCAGTCCTGGGACTTGAACTCAAGGCCTGGGTATTGGCCCTGAGCTGCTTTTGCTCAAGGATAGCACTCTACCACTTGAGCCACAGCTGCCTTTCTAACTTGTTTTTTTGGGAGTGGTTTATTATTATTTTATTTTTTATATTTTTGTTGGTTGTGGGGCTTGAATGCTGGGCCTGGGCACTGTCCCTGAGCTCTTCAGCTCAAGGCTAGCTCTCTACCACTTGAGCCACAGTGCCCACTTCTCGCTTTTTGTGTTTATGTGGTGCTGAGGAATCAAACCCAGGGCCTCAGGCATGCAAGGCAAGCACTCTACCACTGAGCCACCTTCCCAGCCCCTTGGGAGTAGTTTGTTTATTTATTTATTTTTTTGGTCCAGTTGTGGGGCCTGAACTCTGGGCCTGGGCGCTGTCCCTCAGCTCTTCAGCTCAAGGCTAGTGCCCTACCACTTGAGCCACAGCGCCACTTCTGGCTTTTTTCTTTTTGCTTATGTGGTGGTGAGGAATCGAACCCAGGGCCTCAGGCATGCAAGGCAAGCGCTCTACCACTGAGCCAACTTCCCAGCCCCTTGGGAGTAGTTTATTAAAGATGAAGAGTCCCATGGACTTTTCCTGCTCAGGTGGGTGTTAAGCTTGATGGCAGTATAAGAAATGTGGGTTCTGTTTAGCTCCTTTTTTTTTTTTTTTCCTTTGGTAATACTGGAGTTTGAACTGAGAGCCTCACACTTTCTAGGCAAACATTCTATCATGGCCAATCCTTTTTTATTTTTAGGGTGGGATCTTATTTAGGTCAAGGTAGAACCTTGGACTCTATCCTTCTGCCTCTATCTTATAAGTGTCATAGGCCTGTGCCATGTCACTGTTTATATTCTTCTTCTGTTCCTTTCTCCATCCCTCTCTTTCTTTCTTGAAAGCACTTTACCAGTCAGCTATATCCCTAGACTTGTTTATTTTCTCCTCTTTTCATATATTTAAGGTCATCAGCCAACTACTTGCAATTCAAACTGTTACTTCTGGTACTAGGAACAAAGTAACAGTGGATTAAGTGATTTACTGTATGCCTTTAGTGTGTCTATTCCTGTGTGCTAATAGTATGTGCTATTCTATTTGTGCTAGTAGACTTCTTTCCATGATGTGAACCCTTTTCCCCTTCTCCTGTGCTGTTTAAGCATGTATCATGGACAAGGGAGGTACCATGAGACAAAGGGAAAGTTGTGGTTAAAAGGTAAAGAATCCTCTTAACTACTGGTTTGAGTGACTGCCTCTCAAACTTTAACTTTTCTTAAGTGCAGGTCCTCTTTCAGAATCTTGAAATCTGTGAATACTTATTCAGTAAAATAAACACGTGCACATGTATATACACACATGCATGCACACACATGCACCCCAAGGGCTGTCTACAGACTCCAGATTGAGAATTCCTACAGAGATTTGAGCTGAGGAAACAGCTGTGTGGGTAGCCGTGGTCACATTTCAGAGCATGGACTGAAGACTAGTTTATCCCAAAGCTAAATCATCTTGAGGGCCTATTTTTTATGGTCATGATATGGTAAGTTTTTCCATATTCTGGAAACTTCCTTTTCTTTGAAAATAGTAATCTGCTGATGAACGAACTTGGTTTAATGGTCTCAGTTTAAACCTCTCCACAGGTTGCCTTATGCTATGTATTTGTGGTTGTATTTTTTTTTTTTTTTTTTGTGGTGCTGGAAATTGTTCTCAGGTTTGTAAAGATACTGTACAAGTGCTGTGCGTTACATGCACTCCCAGACCTACTATTTTGTTAATGACATTTTTACTGTAACA